TTGGTACCTATAATATACCGTATTATTGTAATGCCGCGGGCGGGCTCCGGACGCGTTATTCGCGTAATCTTCGTACCGGACCTAACAACGTGTTAACGCGCGCACCCGATATTTACGATGACGCGTTGACGGCTCGTTAAAAGTCAAAGTTAACATCGTGACGGCCGTTAAAAAACAAAATGGTATTATGAGGCAAATATAGAGATAGTAATGATAACACTATATTATTGGCGAAACGATAAATAAACAGTTAACGGCGGATAAACACGCGCTTCTTTCGATTTCCCGCCGGCGGACCGACACCGTACACTTTCGCTTTTTACCGTAAGCCGACCGACTCGCATGCAACACTGCACGCGCGCACAATATCATTATTATTATTATATTACTATCGTTATCGATGATTTCCGGACACGGCGATTCCCCCGCCCTCCGCCCCCGGTCAAGATCATCGCCGCACAGGACTGCGAGTGGTTGTACGCGACAGTTGATCACGCGATACCAAGTAATAATAATTACAATATTACAATACTGTTTTTTATCGTGTTATATACGATTGTGTCACGACGATGAGCGACCACCGTCATCGGCGTCCCGACCGCGGATATATGTTGAAATAYTTCTCCCTTGGACCGCGGTCCGGGATATCCGTGTACAATATTATAGAAATGAAGATGAAAATATCTTATTTAATTTTAATCGTTACTCATCTTATAGACTTTAAATGTTTAGATATATATATATATTTTTTTGTCATCGATTTTATTACTACAGTATACAGTTTTAGAAGCATTTTAATATTATTACCTATATTATTATTATATTTATATGATTAAGTCATCTGGAACACCAGTGATTGCGTATTACATAGACGACGGTCGGGATTTTTGAAACCAGCCACTGTGCGTTGACCTCGGGTAGGAACTCGACCTCGATCTAACCTTCTCGATCCTTAATCTATTGTGATTGTGGTGTCACAACACCCCCTCTCCCCCCTGAAGCAGTACCCTCATGACAATACTATATTAGTACAATAATATATTCAAAAAAACCTCTCGTAAGAACTCTCCACACCGCCACTCATCCTGATATCCAATGCACGTWGACGGACAAGGGTTATTATATTATATTACGATGAATTAACGCTGTTACGTGGTATTAGAGTCCGTTTCGTGATTACATATTATTATATACAGAGTGAATTGCAGAGAATGCTCTAGCCCATTTTCTTAATTTTTTAATAATGTCCATCTATTTTAATTCTGGTTTTTTTAAATTTTTGTAAGTATTCCTAACCTAGRACCATATTTCCACGTAAGTACTAGGGTTTTTTATGAGCGCGTTTAAGTTAGGACCTAATGATCATTATCTGTAGGAAAACTCATACATTTCTAAGCTGCAGATGACTTTTTTTTAATTATATGTACCAGGTACCTAAAAATCTATTTATCTATCTAAATCGAAATTTGAACGAATAGTTTCTCTAATTATTTACTTTTGTGTTTAATTRGAACAATATATGTATACGTGTATAATATAAAATATTACGATCAATTGAAATTGATTTATTAATTTATCAGCATTTATAATTTAAAAAAAATTGTCCGAGTATGATAAATAGCAGACCCAATAATACATATATATTAAATTTTCGTAAAACTATTTTCAATATCCTTAGTAAATATATTTCAAATTCTCGTCTAAATTTTTATATTGATYATAGGTTTATCATTATTTTCAAACAAATCATCGGTTTAATCTTTTTTAGTAAAAATGACATTTATTATTTGAAAAAAATTAGGTTCAGCATGTCCGGTGAATCACTCTGTACATAATATTATAACACGGGGTGTACCTATGTGATTCTGGTTACGGCAATATTATTATTGTTACACCGTCTGGAGAAGATTTCATGTTATGTTGCTGTACGGCATAATATAATACAATAAGGCGTGACGACAAAAACTTGAAAAACTATAACCCCGGACAAACATATTATTATTATTATTANTCTTTTTTTGCGTGAAACAGTTTTTACAAACTACGTATGACATGGCATGACGTAATGAATTGCTACCTAATTGCCTGTAACTTTTTTCCTAAAACACAATGAACTGACCGTTAAATTTAATCATTTTCACAGGTGTTTGTTAGTGTTTTTACCCACCCTGGTTGCGGTGATGCTGTTGGCCGACCGATGTCTCGGGTCTGACAATAACAACAACAACAACGGCACGACAACAACGACTGTCGTGTCCGCTTCCGAACTGTCGTCGTCGCCACCGTCGTGGGCTGCTGCCACTACCGATTACCCGACGCAATCGCCACTGACGAACGGCGGCAACGAGACGGCTGGACAGTCAGCGGCCAGCAAACCCAGTAAGTTCGACGAGCACGTGGAGGACTGGCAGTACGTGGACGAACCGCTGAAGAACTTGACGACGGCCGCCAAATCAGTTACCACGGTTGCCGGTAACTCGACCGTGTGCAAGATGTGCTTGATCGACAAGGCCAAGACCCGGCGGAACAAGCGCAACCACGACAACCGGCTGTTCAAGATGGTCGTCAAGTCGTCGCGACACCGAGACCTGTACGCCCAGCTAATGGCCTCGGTGGCGTCCAAACAGTCGTACCGGCGCAAGCGGTTCCGCCGTACGCCGGGCCCTTCGACAGCCGAGTCGTCCACGTACAAACAGTTGTTCCGGTACAAGCGGTACCGACGTTCCGTCGCTGACACCGCAGTTACGGCTGAAAGCATTGCGAGCCCGGCTGAAGAAACCGTGGACACGGGTGCAGGCATCACGGACACCGCGGCTGCAGACTTTTCGTTGGCGCGTTTATCGGCGTCCAAACAGCTGTACCGGCGGAAGCGGTTCCGGCGTTCCGCGGTGGCCGCATATCCGAACGGCATGATACGGCCGTACCACTATAGCAACAACAACAACCGGTACCAGCAACAACAGTACGGGCCCTCGTTGGCAGCCGACCTGCAGCTGCAGCAAAACCGCCGTCGGCGTTACCGGTACGCCGCGGACCCGTATCACTACAAACGGAACGGTGCGGCGGTCACCGCCTGGGACCGTTCCGCCGAGTTCCGTCGCCGGTACCTCCGGTTCCCGCCCACGCACGATGCACCGCCTCCCGCATACAACAACATCGTCAACAGCAACAGCAACAACCCGTGGACGCCGGCCGCCGTACCGCCAGGCCTGTTGTCACAGCAACAGCCTTTCAGTTACTTACCCCAGTACCCGGTCCAACAACAACCACCGTCCATGGGGCCCAGGAGTCCTCGGCTCGTGTTCCGCGACCCYATTGACCAGGGCACGCTCCAGGCACCGTTCGGCGGTGGGCCCAACGGACTCCAAGACCTGTTGGTCTCGCAACCCGACGACGTCAAAGGTCAGTGTCAGCGCGCTTATCGACGGGTGGGCTACGTGGGTTGTTGGAAGGGGCGATGGGGGGGGGATAGTTGTGGGCGCGGGCGATGTATACGTGTCCTATCGTAAGAATATTATATATTACAAATTTCAACGGTAACAACGACGACGTCTAAACATATTTCGTCTTCATATATACCAATCGGATATACACAAAGTAAACGTGAATAATAATAATAATAATAATAATAATAATAGTAGTAATGTCATAAGTGATGACAATTTTTATTACGATACGAAAGGGGAAAAACGTGTTTTCTAGCGCAAACCGTGAGGCGTATCACACGAGGAGAGAAACGACAATAATAATGACATTCGTATAGGTTATAATATAGGCACGAAACTCCCAACAGCAATAATATCACAATAACAATATGAAAGCAGCGCGTCTGGACTCGAGCGGCTCAAGCGTCGCTTACCGGTTTGTCCCGTTGACGACGCGACCGGCAGTTTGTACACTGCACCGGGTGGGTTTTTTGCACCACACACACACTCGTTCCGGTCCCGATTGCGTTACACAACTGAATAATAATATTGGCGATAATTTTGTAATCTCGTATATGTTATCCGCAGCGGAGGGTGTACGATATGTGACAATATTGCCTATGGGTACCACGTAGGTGTGATACGTCGATGTATTTTTATACCGCGGTATTGGTACCTATAATATACCGTATTATTGTAATGCCGCGGGCGGGCTCCGGACGCGTTATTCGCGTAATCTTCGTACCGGACCTAACAACGTGTTACGCGCGCACCCGATATTTACGATGACGCGTTGACGGCTCGTTAAAAGTCAAAGTTAACATCGTGACGGCCGTTAAAAAACAAAATGGTATTATGAGGCAAATATAGAGATAGTAATGATAACACTATATTATTGGCGAAACGATAAATAAACAGTTAACGGCGGATAAACACGCGCTTCTTTCGATTTCCCGCCGGCGGACCGACACCGTACACTTTCGCTTTTTACCGTAAGCCGACCGACTCGCATGCAACACTGCACGCGCGCACAATATCATTATTATTATTATATTACTATCGTTATCGATGATTTCCGGACACGGCGATTCCCCCGCCCTCCGCCCCCGGTCAAGATCATCGCCGCACAGGACTGCGAGTGGTTGTACGCGACAGTTGATCACGCGATACCAAGTAATAATAATTACAATATTACAATACTGTTTTTTATCGTGTTATATACGATTGTGTCACGACGATGAGCGACCACCGTCATCGGCGTCCCGACCGCGGATATATGTTGAAATAYTTCTCCCTTGGACCGCGGTCCGGGATATCCGTGTACAATATTATAGAAATGAAGATGAAAATATCTTATTTAATTTTAATCGTTACTCATCTTATAGACTTTAAATGTTTAGATATATATATATATTTTTTTGTCATCGATTTTATTACTACAGTATACAGTTTTAGAAGCATTTTAATATTATTACCTATATTATTATTATATTTATATGATTAAGTCATCTGGAACACCAGTGATTGC